CTCACTATGAGGAGCTAAATATTATTTCTGAGTGTTAAATGAACCATAAAATGCAACTAATTTATTCTAGCGAGCCAGTTCATTCAAGTACTTCTATGCAAATTGCCATCTTTTCTTTTATGGCTGTGAGTATAAATGGTTCTAATAGTAGAAATTGCCCTAGAATTTGGATTGGCAAGTTGTAATCCTCCATATGTTGTTGGACTGCAATTCCTATCATATTTTTCCATAATGGCCAAGCCTGGCCATTATAGGTTCTGTAGCTAACACATATGTTGCCTACCTCTGCTCTGAAATAAAATTAAGCCACATTTCACACAGGATAGTATTTCCCAAACTTTCACTGTCCAGAGCCCACTTGAGAGGCTAGTGTTGTTTTTTTTGTTTTGTTTTGTTTTGTTTTTTTTGGGGGGGGGGACTTCAGGCATTTGTCTCTAACTATTATCCAGCTGGCATCAAGTAAGGCGAGCAAGGAGACCAAGCTGGAGAAAGACTGAGAATCAGAGGTAGAACTAGACCTGCCGTTTGAAACCATTGGTTCAGCATGATCCCTATTTTATTGATAAGCTAATTATATTTCTTGGAAAGAAGGTAGTAACAGTGCTAGGAACTGTTTAAAGTATGCCTTCCCTTTGCCTTGAACATCTGCTTTTCTGCCCTTGATAAGAGAAAAACATTATTGCCAGATTGTTGGGTTTTTCTTTTTAATGTTATTGGTGCTTGATATGGAAATAATGATCCCATTTCTCTTTCTCTTTCTCTCTTAGTGAATTGGAAGAATCCCTTTTGGTTTTGCCTTTCTCCTATGTGCCTGATCTTCTAATGCTCTTCAGTCAATATTTCGAATTGGGTCTAGAGGTAGAGTTGCTATGCCGGGCTCTCCTGTTTCTGCTCAGGTAAATTGAAGGATTTTTTTTAAAAAAATCAGGTATATTACTATTTTCTTTTAAGACTGAAACTGGCCAAATTACATTAGATCAGGGATGTCAAACTCAAGGCCCACAGGCCGGATCCAGCCCATGGGGTGCTTAAATTTGGCCCGTGGGGGCAGTCTGGAATGGCAAAGGACTGGCCCGCGGAGCCTCTTCCAGCCAAAACAGGCTGCGAAAATGCCCCACCCCCACCCCAGAAGAGAACAATGCTGATCTGGCCCTTGAAGAAATCCAGTTTGACACCCCTGCATTAGATTAATATGGGCAACCTAATCAAAGTTTGGCATGCTTAGAAAGCAAATTTGAAGTTAATAAAAAAAATCAGCTCAATTTTTGTGCATAGCTTAGTAATGTTGGTTTAGTCACTAGAACATAAACACACAGGTGAAAGTTGCTGGTTAGCTGTTTCATCATTTTTGTCAATTTAAAAACACACACCCGTAGAATCAATCTCTAGTCAATGAACATTTCGTTTAAATTGGATATCAGTTTCCCCAATCCCTTTGTCTGGTGCTATAGTCCATTACTTCATATTCTTTGATACCTTGTAATTGTCAAAGGCTGGCAAAACTGACAATGAAGCCTGGCAATATCAAACAATTGTTCTTGTAGGCAACCCTGATCATGCACATTCAATTAAAAATGAATTGCTTTAATGTTGTTGGCAAGTGGTATAATTGAGATTTATGTATTTGCTTACTCACTTGCTTGTTTGATTTCTGGGTAGTGTGTAAAAAACAAACACAACAAAATGTTCTCCACAGTAAGATTAAATTACTAATGGCTATATAATACATTAAAAAATGTTCCTTAAAAAAAAAAAGGAGCTCTGTGTTATTAAGACTGGATGAAAAAGGTGTGTTTCTAAGCCCTTCCTAAAAGTCTGTGGATTGGCACCTCTCTATCCTATTGAGAGTGAGGTCTACATATGAGGCTCAATCAGGGAAAGAGATTGACCCCAAGTAGTAAGCAGGTGAACCAGCTGACACTAAACACAGGCCTCCTTATTTTATCTCAAATAAAATCTCATTTGAGGTTGGCTTTCTCTAGATGTTCCAGGACTATAAAACAACAAATAGCATCTTGTATGTATCTAGAAATCAGTCAACAGGGTAGAGATTTCAGAATAGGGAGAAAATGGCCTCTGCAGGATAAAGTGGAAGTTGCAAGTAACACATGGGATAGCTCTATGTAGAGTTTATTAAAAATTCAAGGTTAGAGGTTACCAGGAGGTGTGTTTTGGTTTTTAGACTTAGATTAAAGATGTGTAAAAATGACCTGTAACAGTGCAGGAATTATTTGGTTTTTTGTCAAAAGCCACATTTTCCCCACTATGATGTCAGGGGCTTGAAGCAAAGTGAGGAATGAGGAAAAAAATGACTGAGGCTTACTTTCTTTTCCCTGCCTCTTCTCACTCAATAAGCTATCTGAGGAGTCAGAGACTTATTATTATGCTTATTACAATTATCTAACTTAATAATCTATCTCTGTCTATCTGAATGCTTCCCCTCCCTTTTACTCCTATCATTTTAGTTTTATGGCCACTTTTTGCTAGTGGTTGGAACTTGCAAAAGGATTCTTCCCCTTAGCTACTCTTCTGCCATTTCAGGGTTTGTTATTTCTTTCCATGCGACATGTAGATAGGCTAACAGCTGAAGTTTCCCCATTCTCTCTTCCTGCTCTGGGATTTCATTTTCATACCATGGGGACCTGTTTTGTTTCCAAAGTTTAGACAAAGTTCCTCCTGGATTAGTCAGGGATCCAGAACCAATATCTTGATAATCTAAAAAAAATAATTTTCCTGTGTCTGTTATTCCTCCTAGGATACACTTTGGGCAGATTACAAGCAATCAGCTTCTTGTTCAGGTGATGGAGAACCTGAAAAAAACTACCCTTTCCAGAGTCAGTCAGGTGAAAGTAAGTGTGCATTGGCACAATATTTCTGCATGTTTAAAAATTGGTTGTTTAGAATTTAGAAGCAACCTGGTTTAGAATTCTGGTCTGATCTCCCAATCTCTGCAGTTCCTTATCCAGTGTCATGGAAGGGGCAGCAAGGGAATATCTCACTGGATATCATCTGCATTAAGAGTCAGGAGCATCCTCTCAGCCCCAGCTCATGTCTTATTCCTTCTTTCCCTAGAGTTAAGAATATGGATGGAATGGGGTGGCAAAAATTCCTGTAGTTTGCTTTGTCAAATAGTGAGAGGTTAGGATTAAAGTTTGCTGGTGTTTGAAACAAAGAGGAAGATTTGCTGGATAACCTAATACTTAGCTGCTATGATCCCCCCCCCCCCATTTTGAATCCCATCTGAAACAAGAAGATAACATTGCCGTTATCTTACAGTTTTAAAGTGGGTGTCAGGATTACTAAACAATTGAGCATTGAAATAGTAGCAAGTGGATATGGAACTAAGTAGATGATGCTTTAATGGTTTTCCCGGTCTTTTCTTAAATTTCACTATTTATTTGTATTTACCTTTAGGATGTTCTGGGATTTAATATGGCTGGTCTCCAGTTCCTAAAAAGAGAAATTGAAGCCAGGGATGAAGTGACTTTTTTTGCTGATGCTACTGACCGATTTGAGGAGAAAAAGAGGAAGAGAAAAAAGAAACAGAAGATGATTCTTGCAATGTTATGAAGCTGTTCGCTGAAGGAATTATTGCTGCCCGAGAACACTGTGATGCATGCTTCTACCTCCTGAAGGGGGAGTGACTCTCAAAGACTTGGGAGAGGATGAGGGAACCAGAGAAAAATCATGCTGAGTTTTTATCCACGATATTGCAATGGGTTGTAGGAGATCAGGACTATCCCTTTTATGTGTTCCCTGCTTTTGACTGCTACAACATCTTCTGATCTGCTGCTTTTGCTCTTCTTTAAAAAGCCACCTCCTATCTCAGGACTCCACATTAACTCTCATCCCACTCGTCATAATGATAAACCATACAGATAGAGCTCTTTGCCCTCTTGCTGGATGGATTGTTTTTGCTTTGTTTTACAACAACATTGTACTCCCCACCCTCTGAAAAAAAGAAGAAAAAAACAGCAATTGTTCAGATTTGATCTGACTATGAATGACATGCTTCTCACAATATAGCATTTTAGCCTGGTCTGAGAATAGACCTTTCTTTGCAGTTTGAGAAGTTTCATTTGTACTTGCTTTTCAGCCTCATTTTTGCTATTTAATGAATTTGTCATTTTAGTAATAGCAGTTTGTATTTGACTCATTATTTTCTTATCTTAGTTTTGGGATGGAAATGGGATTGAGTGTTTTACTCATCTAAATGAAACAGTATATTCTTTTCTCATGGACTCAAGATTGTTAGGATTATATCAGGGGTGTTATTCAGGTTCTGGAGAACCGGTAGCGGAAATTTTGAGTAGTTTGGAGAACCGGCAAATACCACCTCTGGCTGGCCCCAGAGTGGGGAGGGAATGGGGATTTTGCAGTATCCTTCCCCTGAAGTGAGGTGGGAATGGAGATTTTGCAGTATCCTTCCCCTGCCATGCCCACCAAGCAACACCCACAGAACCAGTAGTAAAAAAATATGAATTCCACCACTGATTTATATGCTTTGAGTATTGAGCTCAATTGCATATTTGTTGCCATTTGCAATTCCATAAATCATTTTGTTCCTCAATGGTACAAGCTCCATTGTAAGCCTTGAAATCCCAACAAAAGTCTTCCAGTTAACATATAAAAGTTAAAAATTAGCTCTCCAGATGTGTAATATGAGATGGGAATCTAATCTAGCCTAATAAGGAATCTGGTTTCCTCATTTAATCTTGAACACTAGCACCAGGAAATTCAGTAAATTGCTCAGCATAAATTCACCTAAATCTTCCTACTTTTCTAGGGAAGGCACATTGGCAGAATTTCAAAATAAGTATTAATAGGTTATCAATTCTATGCCAGTATCAAAATTAGCTAATTTTGATGAATGCTAGTGATGTTCTCAAGATATTCAAGATGTTGCACAAGTTCTTTGTGCTTTTTCACCTTCAGCAAGGAGAGTAGCAATTTGTTTACATTCCCTTTAAATTTTTAAAAATCCAAACCAAAAGATTTACTGTAATGCAGAATTTGTCTTATTGTTACATGTTCATATTAAGATGATATGCCCACAATTGTTTACAATACCAATTTATATACAATGTATAAATATTAGTTTAAAAACAATTTAATTAACCTTCAAAAACATCGATTTAACATTCTTTGCATATTAAGAATGTTAGCACTGCAGGACTGTCATAATATTGGAAAAAATTAATCCGGTCTGCTCTGCAAAACAAATATAAAAAGTTATATAAGCATATGGACGAATTTCTATGCAAGTTTTCTGATGTACAACTAACTTGGTTGTCAAAATGCATATGCCTGTTAAATTCAGAAGGTAGATATAATCATTTATCTTATTTGCCTTGTGCATTTGAAGTAAGTTAAAGTAATAATGAAAGTGGATTTTTGCCTTTGACATTTTCCTAAATATGCAATTCTTATTTAATGAAGCAGATGGCTTGAGTCTACTTGTGGTCTCTGCCTTCCTCTTAAAACGTGACAGGGGAAAAATAGCTGTCTAAAAGAAACAAAAGTCCTGTTCTACCTCCTATAGGTCTCACTTTCCTCAAAAAATGCCACTGTTTATCCAATTATTCTAAAATTATTTCAAGTTAACTCTGCAAGAAAACCTTGCATATGATTTGAACTTATGAATTCAAGTTTTTAATTTGCATTTTTTGGTCACTAGGCAAATATATTCCAAGTACTTTCTTGACTCAATTGTGATATCTAACACGGTAGGTATGTATTTGGCTGCTTGAATATTCTGGTGTAATTCTCTCATTTAAGATCTGTCCCCATCAATGCCATTCATGCCAAATGGACCCTTGGTTGCCCTCCACCCCCAATCACCCAGCTTTCCTAACCCCTTCCCCACCAGTACATCCTTACTTCTTCCTCCCAACAGTGGTTTAATTGCCAAACACAAGCTCTCCTTTTAATATGGTGAAACCCAGACTTTCCATGCTGAAATATAATTGCTTACATTAATGAGGAAGCTTGTGAGGAAGTATTACTCTAAACTGAGAGACTGGACTTGCTGGAATCAACTGGATGCTGGAGGCCTGCCCTCCCTTGGGATAGTTTGATGGTCTCTCATCATAGACGATGTCTGTTAAGACTGGTGAAAAAGCAAGTTAAGGAAATACATTGTTTTACTAGACCCCTTCCCGAACCTTGAGTATAATAAAAGCATAATAAATAATAAAGCTTAAAGACAGTCTTTTAAAAAGAGGTTGCCCGAGCCATTAAATTCTATTTCACTTTGGCAACACAAAAAGCATTGAGAAAAATACAGAGACATGAGATTCCAGAGTGTTTTCTTTCTTACTCAGTTTAGCAGAGAAAGTAATAAAGATGTCCCTGTGTCACTAGCTTACATTTTTATCCATGTGGCACAAGGTCATAGACCACACCAAATAAACTATTTATAGTTCCTTTTATGTTAATATAGAAACACATGTTTGACAGTGCTGGGGCTGATAATGAAATGCCACATTATTTTCAGTTGTACAAATTAGTAATGTGTGTGTGTGCTTTCAGGTATCTCCTGGAAAATGCAATTTTCTTTAATATAGGAAAAATCAACAGGACAACAATAGAACAGTGTGAAAAACTCCAAACAAAGCCTTTGTTATAAAATAGATTGAAGTGATATTCTGGTTCTTAGAAATAGGAGCAATGTAATTGTATGTAAACACCTCTTTTTTATAATATGCCAGCAGCTGAAGTGAACAATAGAAAGTAGTCATGACTGCTCCTATAACAACTTCCAAATAAACATGCATAGTGTTAATGATGGATATTGCCTTGGAAAGGTTTTACTCTGAAAGATAGCGCTAGAAATAAATAAAAATAACAAGGGTGGGATACTAAATAAGTAAATAAGTGATTTAAAGAAAGGTAAGATTGCTACTTGTCAGTGGAGTAAAAACCATTAGTTTATCCTGTATAAATTCTATGTAGAACAAAAGGGAAAAAAAACACTGAAAGATATTTGCTTCCACAGGAAGAAATAGTGTTTCAGTTTCTGTGTGAATTTCAATCTGATGGGAAAGTTTGTCCCAGCCCTCATCTCCTTCCACTCCAACAGCCATGGCAAAAATCTCTATTTCCAATATAGTTTGCAGTCCAGCAGCCACCTAGAAAAGACAGATTGTATAATTCACCATGAAAAAAAATAGATTCTTGTCTCCCACTCCCCACTATCTTGCCCTCTTTAAATTATTCTTAACCATCAGCCTAAATAAACTTGCTGGTAAGGCTTTGTTTCATTTGTGACTTGAATTTTCATGGTAACATTTCTACTATAAACTCTTCATTCGAAATTGCGATAAGAAATGACTTGTTTGGAGCACAGAGTCAAAGAAAGCTAAATCCCATGTAATTTTCTTGGCTGTGAATAGTTCCAAACCATTTTTATGGCAATATACCCTTCAATTGCTCAACATAGAATTTCCTTCCAGTTACTATACTGTATATCCCCGAAGCTGATGATACATCATTTGAACACAAAGAAAACTAAAGAATTGTAGATAAGCAGTATGTTAAAAGTAATTCAAAGGATTTCCCATATTTAGGAAAAGGAATAAGTCCATTTTTTAAAAAAAAGCTGCTGAAATGTGTTCACTAGAAGGAAGGTGAAGTTTTCTTAAAGTCTATACAGACTACATATAGGAGATTGGTATTAAGAAATATCAAAAAAGCAGATTACTACATCATTCCATTAAAATACGGCAATCAGCCCATTTGTCCCTACACCCACGTATAGGCTGCTTGGGCACATATTCTCTAGAGTAGCACTCATTCTTGGGGCAATTTGTTGGCTAAATGAAGAGACGCCTCACAGTTTGCATCAGACATTCTCATGTTCCAACGACTTCTATAATCTTAGTGGGAAAAGGAGAAGATTCTCCTGAATATTCCGCACATTTGTATATGACCTTTCAGAATTGTTTGAAGAGTTTAAAAAACAAACAAAACCTAAACTCAAAAAATGTGATTACTACAGAATAAAGACAACATTTTTGGTATTCTGCTTCATCTGTCTAACACAGGTTTACAGAACTGTTATTTTTTATTGCTATTTGAAAAGAATAAACCTGGAGTGTCAAATCAATAAACCTGGAGTGTCAAATCAATCCCACATAGAAGATAATCCATTCTATGCCTCTTTATTAATTTGTTGCTAGTAGGTTAGACAGAAGTGCTTGGTCTCTTAAATCCTTAACTACTGCAGAGAACCCTTGTGATTGGTCATTAGCCCAGGAAAATCTTTAGTACTGATCATTAAACTATATTATATCCCTCTAAAATTATTCTATCTGTAGCTTATTATAGGGAGAAATCTTATTAAAGTACTAGTTAGGAGAAAAATCTTCTGACCTTCTCCAACGGTTGCACTTCTATTTTTTACTGGAGTTGGAAATGTGCAGAAGACAAAAGGACTAATGCTAGAGGACTCATCCAACTGCTTAGTGTACTGATTTCTACTAATCACTAATCAGGACTTGCATTGTTCAGTGACAATTCAGAGGAAACAGACACAAGAAGGGTATTAGCTAAGAAGCCCATAATATTCTGCCAGTTCAAGGAAAGGCCCATAGGTCACATTTAAGAAGAGTGGTCTGCCTATAGAAAAAGATCAATTAAAATTATTTAAACACCCTAGGACTTACAGGCCCTGGGGTGTAGTTCACTCGCAATCCTGTAGAAGGTGGTGGTTGTTTCACCCGAAACCTGCCAAGTAATAGAAATGTTAATTTCTTGTTTTGTGCTAAATCAGAGAAATAAGAAGCAGAGTGTGGAAGAAGATGGGTCCACACAGACGTTGGCTTTCATAATTATTAAGATATTTTCAATCTGTGTCAAGAATAAGTTCAATCATGAAGGCAAAGTTTAAATTCATAGCTTAAGAAGCCCCAAAAGAATGGCTTACTAAAATTACATTTAGCCTTTTTTCATTTCTTAGCTACCATCTTTATCTAAAATATATTTTTCAGTCTGAAGAAAGGCATTATATAATGTAGCTTGATATTTCTAGTGAGAGAATAGCATATTGCTTCCTTGTAATTAGTATTTGAAAGCTCATTTTACTGGGCCTTATTTGAAGTCATCTAAAGCTAAGTGTTTGATTGGAAATTTGCTCCCACTGCAACCTATATGCATCATAAAACAGATGCAGCCTCCCTCCTAATCTCTTCAGTCTGATGACAGATAAAAGTGGTCTCAAACAGAATATGTATCTAAAGGACCAAAGTGAGACTGGTAGATAACCTATGTAAATTTTAGAAACCTCCAGCTGTTCTCTGTAGTCTCTATCACTTATAAGAGAAAAGGCAAACTAGTAAAAAGGCAAACATCTTGGCCAAGGGATCAACTGAGGACTTCTTATGCCACCTGAATTAATGGGAAGATTTTTATGTAATTGTGCAGAAAACCTGGATTAAGACTATGGACAGATCATCTGAGAAAGCTTCTCAGATGGGCTATTAAGAATCAGTCCAATGGTAACTTAGATCTCTCCAGAAATAGAGTTTTAAAACTATATCTTCAGTCTTGATGACTGTAATTCTGATTTAAGAGCCATGTGGGGAACAGTAGTTTTGCCTATTAAATATACTGCTTGTATCATCAAACCTAGGAATGAAATTGTCATGCCATTACAATTTCTGGAGGAAAGGGCCAGTGAGAAATGTTTGCTTCATTTAGGCAAAAACAGCTGTCCAAAGAGCATAGATTGGCCCCCTTCATACTCTTGCTGGTGGCCTCATCCATAGCCCAAATTAGACTTTCCTGAATAATAAGATTGTGATGAACATTGACAGAAGGGAAAAAAAAAACATCTCCCACATGACAACTTGTAAAATATCACCAATGCTAGCATGATAACTCCTTCTCAAAAGGAAGATTTCACTCTGAACTCTCAGCACAGATGCAACTTTACAGATGTAAACAAAAAAAATGTGTTTGAAATCCACTACATTTCTTTCTGCATTGGATTGAAAAGGCAAACTAAGTAAAGGTGAAGGTATTGGAACATTCAACAGATATGTCCATGTGGGTCCATAAGCCATGTTGTTGGAACTAAATGGGTCTCTGACCATCATAATTACTTGTTCTTTATAAATGCCAGGGAAGATAATACTGGGTATTACAGTATCACCTTTAATCTAAATTCAAAAGATTCTTCTGCAGCAAAAGGACCCATCAGAAATGGAATTCTACCTCATGCCATTGCGGAATGTAGTTTCAATTGTTATAGTTCAATTGTTCACCTTCACTCCATGTTATTCTAACAAAACCTTGGACATTAGAAGTTTGTGCATCCTTGCTAGTTCAACTCGGTCATTAAATGCTAACACTAGAACAATGAGGACAGAAGGGAGATTAGGTAGGCATTTCACTTTTTGGACAAATACTTAAAGGCAACATTTACCACTGCAATGTTTTGCCCTAAAAAGTGCCATCTGTGTTATACAAACCATATTCATGACTCATAGAAGAACATGGCTACCACAAATGCTTCTATTTTGAAAATTATTATTATTGATGAAATTCAGGCCCCTGGGTTGGTGCTATTCTCGTATATTACATACCTGCAGTCAAAAGAGAGAAGTTATCCTTGTTCTTCCTCCTTGAACAATTTACCACTCTGACATTGTTCATATAGAAAAGAATTTCCATGTTCTGCAAATAACTCTAAGGTATATCCCCAAACAACCAAAAAGCAAAATATTTTGATGTGTTATCCTTTAGCAGATATAAAATTTGCTAGTAATATATACAAACCTGCAGAAGTCCATTCCAACGTTCTTCAAAGCTACTGTGGTTGAATAAGTGCAGCCCTCCTTAAGAATGCCAAATGTCACCTTTGGTGGGATAAGAAGGAATCCTGACATTTTCTGGGAAGGTGCTGTGACAGAGCATGTGCGGACTTTGCCAGAAACAAGGTCTACATTCTTCACAAACAAGAGAGATTATTTAGGAAGGACAGACAGATCAAAACTCTTAAATCATAGATCTATTGATAAGAATAAAGGGTATTTATAGATAGATATTCTACCCATTCATAGTGGCTATTAATACTTCAATTCTGAAATGAAGATTGGTATTCCGAATTCCCAATAGGCTAAATATAAAATAATCATTTTTGTCAATTGAAACAAAATATACCTTGAATTATAAGTGGATTTGCCCATGTGAAATCAGTCCTGTGAATAATTTAACATGTACAAAAATGTACAATATTTATTTGTGTACTGTAGTATGGATTTGAACTTATGGCATGAAAGTCTATTTAACCTTCAGTACACTCCTGGATGAAAAACAGAAATCTGTAATATAATTTTTGCTAAGGGTTTTATTTTTGTTTCAGTAAAATTATACTGCACAGCTCCTTGGACACTCAAAGCATCTTGAGTATTATTCCATAATGTCTGATACTGCTACTCTTACTTTTCAGGTGCCATCAAGCCTGTTTTAGTCTTACACAATCAGATGGACAGGTTTTACTAAATTAAGCTATGGTTAATTATCATTGGACCACATATGAGGAAAATAGGCAGAAACCATCCAACAGCAGAAGGAGATGTTCACAGAAGAAGCATAGATTTGAAATAAACTCCTTTGTTCCCAATCCTAGCTTTTTCTGTCCTTGTGGACTCCTTTTGTACTCTGTATATCAGGGGTTACCAACCTTTCGGACCTCAGGGACCACTAAATTCATAATTTTAAATCCTAGGACCACTAAAATGATCTGCCTAATGACCGGCTGGGTGGACATGGCTAGGTGGTCATGTGACTGGGTGGGCGTGGCCAACTCAATGTCACTCATGTCAAGGGGCACCTCGCCAGCCTCTAGTCACTCCTTCCCTCCTGGCCACTCCTCACCTGCCCGCCCAGGCTCTTTAGGGCGCCAACAGGAAGCAGTTGTTGGAGCTAAGAGAGAGTTGGCAAAACAGCTCAGTTCAAATTGGATCTGACCGAGAAGGAGGCTCAGCAGAAGCACCTGAGGACTACGAACATAGGCTTTCCAAGCAGAGGGAAGACCTGAGGAGTGCAAGACCAGGTACTGGCACCTGGAGGCTCAGCGGGACCACCTGGTTGAGATGGTCAGCCAGTTCCAGACCATGAGGCAGTCCCACTGGAACGAGGCTCTCTGGCTCTTCGCCACCAGCAGCACTTCCCTTCAGCCTTTGCCCAAAACCCCACACCAGGAGGCTGAAGCAGACCCTGTTGGAATTTCTGCACTCCCCCCACCCCCGACCCACACAAGAAGACCCTGAAGGGGGAGACTCTCTGCAGCAACACAAACATTCATTGCATGTATCCGGCCCAGGGGATTTAGTTTGAGGACCCCTGATTTAGTGCAATATAAAAAATGCAAATAATTTTTCTGCGGACCATCAAAATTTTCCCACAGACCACCAGTTGGTGACTGCTGCCCTATATAAGCAGCTCAGAGGGAGGGAAGGAGGAAAAGTCCACTCCTAATCCATCCAATGCAATCCCCAAAACCAAGCTACAAGCATTCCAGGATGACAGAGTGGATTGGAGTACATGGTTGTCCATTTGCTCCAAATCCTTTGGCTACTGTTTAGTGACAGCTGGAAAAAATCAGCTAGCTACTTGTAGTGTGGGAGGAATCCAATACTCTTAGGTACTTGAGTTGCTATTCTGCATCTGTAACCTTTAAGTCATGACTTGTTACATCTGATATCCTGATAGGGAAGGAAAGGAGTATACAATGGTAGAGGGATGAGCTTGTATGCTTCTTTGTGACATTCTGTGACAGCAATCTTTTCTAGATCCCCCCCCCAAACAAAATCTTAGATAAATTCTAAGATAAAATGATCTTTGAATAATTTAGGACCATGAACATATCACTGACTCGTAGATTAATATGCCATCCCTTAACCAAATGATTGAACTAGTCACGAATTGCAGGTAGGATATGTTCTTGGATCAAGTTGAACATTCAATTTCCTACCCATCTAAAATACCCCTCTGAGTTCCATCCATTGGATTTTAAGCCCAACAATGCTGATATTGAATAGGTGCCAAAAGGTGCTTCCCTGGAGTGGGCTGTTTTAGGAGGAAGATAATCATTATAAAGCATTTATTTCTTATAAACATATTCTACCTTTCCTCTAAAGAACTTAAAAGTGGTGTTCCTGGTTCACTTCTCCTGTGATCCTCACATTAACATCACTTTGAGATAGGTTGAGCTGAGGAAAAGGAATGTTTCTAATTCAACTAGCAAACAAACTAGGATTTGGGAATTTGTCCAAGTCCAAAACTATAATCATTGCCCTGCACAGGTAGGAAAGCTCAACTGATTGCAGACTCTCTGAAATTTCTAAAACTTGAGAACTGGATAGAAGACATGGTGATGCATCTTTCATACCTCTTTTAAGCATGATCATCTTAATTAGAACAAAAAGGTTTGAGGAGACAGAACAATTCTAAATATAATGAAGGTGAAGTCAAGGAAAATTAGAAAAAAACTAATTGTACTGTGGGAATTATGTTACTTTTTGCCTTGGTACTGATTGTGGCTTGCTTCTTTGTATCAAAGCAGGCAATTTCACTTTCTCTTTTCTTGGGGATCCTGTAACGTCCACAAGAAGTGATTGAACTTTTGGATGGATCTGGACTCCCTTTTCACTTCCTTCTGCATCTACTGAGAAGGAAAAGAGTTTTAAGACTACAGTATATGCCCTAGACTAATTCTACAACTCATGAAGAGGTTAGGGTACAATTAGAACCAAAGTGATAAAGGAAGACAAGATTGTTTGCGGTGATGCTCTCTGAGATCACTTAGGAGAAAAAGAACCTGACTGGTAAAAAAAAATTGAATTTTATTTGATAACCAATTGAAGGCCTTGAAGAAATATTGATACTTTCAAGGGAAAGAGAATGGCATCTATTTTTGGCTAGAACCAATGCCACTCTCTTTCAAAAGGTACCAACTACCGTATTTTTCAGAGTATAAGATGCACTTTTTTACCCCCCAAAAGGGGGTGAAAATTTAGGTGCGTCTTATACACTAAATGTAGCCCTGCCCACCCACTGGCCCCCACTCTTTGGCCTGTGCCTCGCAGCAGTTACCTTCTTGCAAGTAAACAGCAAGAAAAAACAGCCCATTTCAGCTTCAGCATAGGTTTATTAGCACAAGTTTATTAGATCGGCCTCCCTACTCTCAGCTGATTTGCTCTCAGCTGTTTTGTGCAGGGCTCTACTGCTTGCTGCAAAGAGTGCTGGAGCAGATTTTTTTCCCCTAGCTATGCTGAAAAAACGAAACTGAAAGTAAAGCAGGCTCTTTCCTGCAACGTGACAAAATGAGGCAGAGAGAGATTTCTTTTTCTTTTTTCTCATCAAAAAAGGTAGGTGGCAAACAATGGGAAATTTAGGGCGAAAGAGGAGAGTTCAAGATTTTAAAACACAAAAGAAAAAACGCTCTATTTAACTAGGGAATTGTAATAATTGAGATACTATTAATTGTATATTGCAGTGATGGCTAACCTTTTTGCCATCGCGTGCCAGGAGAGGGGGGGCGGGGGAGGATCATGCGCACACGTGCCCATGCCCATGTGTGCACAACCCCCTCCCCACTCGCCCCCCGCTCCTGGCACATGATGGCCTGGTAGGCCCGTTTTTCTTTCTTACCTGATTCCAGATCCTCTCTGTGTATCTGGGAATGGCGAAAACAGCCTTTCCCACTCCCTTGGAGGCCCTACGGAGGCTGAAAAGGCCCATTTCCCAACTCCTGGTGGGACAGGAAGTGACATTTTTTGCTGTCCCCAGTCTCCAGAACCTCTCTAGGAGTCTCTAGGAGCCTCTCTAGGAGTCTCTAGGAGCCTCTGGAGGCTGGGGACAGGAAAAAACATCACTTCCTGTCCCACCGGGAGTGGGGAAATGGGCCCTTTGAGCCTCCGTAGGGCCTCCAAGGGAGTGGGAAAGGCTGTTTTCGCCCTTCCCAGATACACAGAGAGGATCTGGAGCCAGGTAAGAAAGAAAAACGGGCCATCCCCACCACCCCCAGGCCCTCCAGAGGCAGGAAACAGCTTGTTTCCCTACTTCTGATGGGCCCAGAAGGCCCGAAAATCAGCTGGCTGGCGCGCTCATGCACTCCAGAGCTGAGCTGGCATGCCCACTAATATGGCTCCGCGTGCCACCTGTGGCACACATGCCATAGGTTTGCCATCATGGATATATTGTGTTGAAAGCAGAAATGGTTAAGTTGTGGTTTGGAGGAATATATGGGGGAAATTATTTGGTTTATTATTATTGGTAAATATAATTAATTGATTTGTAAGAAATTGGATTGCATGGAAATCAATCCAATTTGGAGGGTAGAGCTGAGGATTTTGTTCAATATCTGCATGACAAAATCACTCAGATTCGGGAAAATCTGGACTCCGACTGGATAGTTCCAGGGGGATGACTGAGGCAGGTTTTGAGAATGTTACCTGGGATGAATTTGATCCTGTGACCCCTGACGACGTGGACAGGATTCTGGGTGGACTGAACGCGACCACATGTTTATTGGACCTGTGCCCCTCCTGGTTAGTGCTGGCTTCCCAGGAGGTGACGCGAGGCTGGCTCCAGGAGATTATAAATGCTTCGTTGGGTGAGGGTGACTTCTCCGCCGCCTTGAAAGAGGCGGTGGTGAGGCCTCTCCTCAAGAAGCCTTCCCTGGACCCGGCAGTGTTGGCTAATTATCATCCGGTCGCCAACCTTCGCTTTGTTGTGAAGGTTGTTGAGAGTGTGGTTGTGCGACAGCTCCCCCAGTACCTGGATGAAACGATGTATCTGGATCTGTTCCAGTCGGGCTTCAGGCCTGGGTAAGCATGGAAACAGCACTGGTCGCGTTGGTTGATGATCTCTGGAGGGCTCGGGACAGGGGTTGCTCCTCTGTCCTGGTCCTATTAGACCTCTCAGCGGCTTTTGATACCATCGACCATGGTATCATGCTGCACCGGTTGGAAGAGTTAGGGGTGGGGGGCACTGTATTACGGTGGTTCTCCTCCTTTCTCTCCGACCGGTTGCAGTCTGTGTTGGCAGGGGGGCAGAGGTTGACCCCGAGGCCCCTCATATGTGGGGTGCCACAAGGGTCGGTCCTCTCACCCCTTTTGTTCAACATTTATGTAAAGCTGCTGGGCGAGATCTGTGGTTTCGGGGTGAAGTACCACCAGTACGCTGATGACATCTCCACCCCAACGATGCCCTTAAGTGATGTCCTGGTGTCTGGAGGCCGTGCGGATCTGGATGGGGAGGAACAGGCTCAGGCTCAACCCATCCAAGACCGAGGGGCTGTGGTTTCCGACGTCCCGATATAGTCAGTTGACGCCATCGCTGACTATTGGGGGCGAATTGCTGGCCTCCACGGAGAGGGCTCGCAACTTGGGTGTCCTCCTGGATTCACGGCTGTCTTTAGAAGAGCACTTGACGGCCGTGACCGGGAGGATTTTTCATCAGGTTCGCCTGATTCGCCAGTTGCGTCCCTTTCTGGATCGGGACTCCCTACACACAGTCACTCATGTCCTCGTCACTTCCTGCCTGGACTACTGTAACGCTCTCTACATGGGGCTCCCCTTGAGGAGCACCCGGAGGCTCCAACTGGCGCAGAGTGCCGCCACGCGGGTGGTTGTGGGGGCAACATGGCGCTCCCGTGTGACACCTCTCCTGCACGAGCTGCACTGGCTCCCGGTGGTCTTCCAGGTGCGCTTCAAGGTTTTGGTCACCACCTTTAGAGCGCTCCATGGCTTAGGACCTGGTTATTTAGGGGACTGCCTACTACCACAAGCAGCCTCCCACTGGCCGGTACGCTCTCATAGAGAGGGGCTCCTCAGGTGCCGTCAGCCAAACAATGTTGACTGGCAGCCCCCAGGGGGAGGGCCTTCTCTGTGGGGGCACCCACTATCTGGAACGAGCTCCCCCAGAGATACGGAGGATCCCGGATCTGCGCACTTTCTGCCGTGCTCTTAAGACTCTCCTATTCCAGCAAGCCGGCCTGGCCTAATTTTCTCCCCTGTTTTAAAATTCTTTTAAATCGAAATTTTAATCTATTTTAAATTATTAGGATTTTTAATTGTCTTGGACTAAATTATTTAATCTGGTTTTAATTATGTTTCTAACTTTTGTATCTATGTATTTTATTTTGTGCCTGTTCACCGCCCTGAGTCCTTCAGGAGTAGGGTGGTATATAAATTTAATAAAAACAAAACAAAACAAAAACAAAATAATTGGAATATTCATGTTCATATTGATTAATATACAAAAAAGATAGTTATAACTAATTGATTTATATAAAAATGTTGAATTTGTATTAAACAATTGTAATATTAAATAATTAACCAATGTGAGGATGGATATAAAAATAGATGACAATGGGAAGGAGTGTAATATAGAATAGAAGGGAAAATTGAATTTGATTAAGATTAGAGATGAGAATGAAGGGTAATACTGTTTTTTTTTAAAAAAAATAGATGAGGAATAAATATGGCAAAAAGGAAATATAGAAATTGTAAATTTAATTGAAATGACTAAACACTGTTTAAATTTGTGAACCGGCCAAATACTCTGTTCAAAGAAAGTACATTGTATGTTTGTATGTGTGTTTGTCTAAAAAATTAAAAAAAAAACTTAAAAAAAATAACAACCAAAAAAGATAGGTGCTTCTTATACTCCGGTGCGTCTTATACTCCAAAAAATACGGTATATTATTAAATATATTAAGTGCCAAAATTTTGCTACATCTCTATTCTTTGCTATGTCAGTAGCTCAAAAAAATTAATCTGGTCATTTTACATCAAACTCTAAACAAAGCAAAATGCCTATATATAAACAACAGATTTTCATTTAGGATCCAGGTAAGATAACAAAGGAATAAAAAAAGAACTTTATTCTAGAGTTCCGTTTTTGCAGAATTATGCAACTTTTCTAGGTTGAAGGCTTTTGAGTGGCATGTCAGAGATTTAAGTAACAAATTAAATAGAATTAATGCAAATTAATTCTATTAATTAGCATTAATTCTATTCAGTCTTGCATTTAATATTTTCCCTTTTCTGTTATATTAAAAATCACAATTAAGTCATAACTTTTGTAGATGCCTGAAGCCATTTTAATACTTTAGGGATCAAAGGCCACAGGTGAATTGTCTGCATTTTAAAAGCTAGTTTTGGGATCTCAAAATACTGCCAATACTGATGATAGTGGATGCTGTGATTTGCTATATATCTCATTTTCTCCACTGTGTTACATATTACAGTTTATTCATAAACAGTAAGGTATCTGTTATGAACTTTGACTCCTCAATCTCCCTTCATCCAAAGGAAGCTAAATGTGTTAGAATAAATATTTTCTGTATTCAAGAAAGTAGTTGAGGACAACAAAATATGCTACATGTAGAACACATAAGAACACACAACTTACCAATATTACTTATTAAGTACATATTAGCTATAAAGATATACAGTAGATATTTTTAACATGTTATAAAGTTCTATTAATAACTGCTTTTTTCAAAGAGCCCTTTGGAATGGTTTACCGTTTGTAAAATGGGATGGATAGGTTTCAGCATAGATTGAAGAAGAAATGGTGTTTGGAGGCAGTTCTTTGGAATGCTTACGTCTGACCAAGCCATCGCTGACTCCTAAAATATAAATATAAATTCATCTGAAGCATTTCTATTTTGCTATATATTTATTAAACAAATTTGTATAACTGCCCAATTCACAATGAGGTGGGTGACTTACAAAATTTTCAAAATGCACCATGTAATAAAATCCCATTAAAAAAGCCCCATCTCTCCTCCATGGCAGCAACAGCACAATCAAATCAGCCATTATGACAACTTGCCATGGCCAACTCTCTACAGGCCAATTCTCCACGGGACAAGATATACCCTAATATCAAACAAATGGTGGAAAAGAATCATTAAAGAAAGAATGCAAAAGGAGGGACAAAATGAAATGTGAATAACAATAATTTAAATTGTTTTAATTAATTAAATTGAATTGTTGAATTGCCCTGCAGCAAATTGTCCCATGGTGGATTGGACACAGCAAGTTGTCCATTGGTGAGTTGGCCACGGCAAATTGGCCATGGGGGAGGAGGGTTGGCCATAGCACGTCCCATTCCACTCAGTTTCATTTATAGTCCATGAGCCTTGTGAAAACCACATTTTTAGGGTTTTTTGGAAAAGCAACAGGGAGAAGACCATCTGAACTTAGGTTCACTATTCGCTCTGAAAGATACATTATTTTCTTGAAAAATAGAATAGAAAATAGAATACATCAAAAAAATAATAATAATAAATGACAACACCTACCCTCCAATGCATGGTTTGAAAACACGTAATGTGAAAGTTCTTAATATTTTACAAAGCTTTTATAAAGGCCAGCTATAATGAAAGCAAATTATTTTTATGACATCCAGATGGAACAGATGGTGGAAAGGTCCCAGCCTAGTCCCTGGTTGTTTCTGAGAGCAGCAGCCTATATTCTTTGTAATTGAGGAAATGTTATCTACGTCTTTAAATTTTCCTGTCCATTTGAAGGCACAATATGCAAAAGAAATTATTTGAGAGTTTTGTGACATCTTAATTGTAAAAAGGCAAGTGATTCCATTGCTGTGCAACTCAAACTTTCCACGTTGATGATTCCAATAATCTAGGGAACAGGATTGTGAGGGCAGGACTGCTAGTTGCAGCAGGTATTGATGGGTTTGACAGGTGAAAGATTTAATGGTTGCAAGGGAGTTTCTTACAATTACAGAAACATGCTTTGAAGGACAATTAAGGAATATAGTTTGGTAAGCTTTATGAAGAAAATTCCTAATCTATTTTCTTGGCATCCAATTAGTTAGAACAATGCGATTTTTAAGAGAAATCCAATAGACACATGCTACAAGGTTTTCACCAGGCCTCTGCAGATATCACTGTACAGAGAAGCTTTGCACAAGACTAACTCAGTTTCTAAGCTCAGGAAAAAGTGAACAAAATTATGAATGTTACATTTTCAGGATCAAGGAAGTTTTTGTGATCTATTTATTCTGCATTCTTTATTGTGCTATTAGCCAACCAGAGTGACTGAGAGAGGAGAGACCATATACATCAAATCAATTAATAAATAGCTAATTATAAGTAGGTGAAAAGCTATCGAGAAAGAAGTCTGACCATCTGTTCAGGAAATACAGCACATCCACTTACCGTAGCTTCCTTACCAAATGTTATGAAAAAAATTCTAAAGAAACTACATTCTTTGTGAATTATTTCTGAATTCTTATGGCAGCTAGCAATTTAGTGTCCAAGGTGCTTAGTGGCATAATACTTACGCCACTCCTAAATACCACCTATGGTTTCTTTGTGGTTTTTAAAAATGTAATTTAAAATTGAAGAATTGAACTGAATAAGCTTCTTGGATGAGAAGCAAAACATTTTCAAAGAAAACAAAAAACAAAAAAAAGTCCTGTTGCCTTTTAGAAAAGCACCTTTGGGACAACTATGATCTGAATAGCCTGTAAATTAAAATATATATTTTGTGTGTGTGAAATAACCAAATTTTTCAAGAGTTCTGTATTTTTTCATAAGATGTTACAAAGTTTTGGACACTGAAATAAAAAATATTAATTCATATTTATTGCTGACAATACTGTGCTAAAGATTTACAAGTGCTTCATCAGCTACAAGAAAGCCTTCAATTGTATTGCTCATGAGAAGCTATGGAGAGAAGCTATGGAGAGAAGCTATGGAGATGTACCAGTACATCTGGTCAAGTTGATTAAATCACTGTGCACAAATCAGGAAGTCATTGTGTGAATATCGTATGGAGACACTGAATGGTTTAAGATAGAGAAAGGAGTATGACAAGGTTTCATTCTCTCTCCTTTCTTATTCAACCTGTATGCCAAAATGACTGTGAAGAAACTAGATCTCGAAGAATCAAAAATCGGGGTAAAGATTGGAGGTAGAAATATCAACAATCTTTGATATGCTGAAGAGACAACTCTCATCTCAGAAACCAAAGTAGATCTGGAACATCTGATCAAGAAAATCAAAGAAAAAAAAATAAGAATTTTGGTCATTTTCTGGACATCAAAAAGACCAAATTCATGACCACTGGAAACATCAGAATAGAAGCTGATGGTGAGGAGATAGAATGCATGGAAAAATTCACTTTCCTAGGGTCGTAGATCGCTCAAAGCAGTAAATGCATCCCAGAAATAAAATGTCAGGTTGCACCAGTTCACACAGCTATGAGGAATATGAGCCGAATATGGAAAAGCAAGGACATCAGCCTAGCAACCAAATGTAGTATAATCTATTCTATTGTAGCTACCTATGGTTGTGAAAGTTGGGCATTAACAAAGCAAGATAAGTAGAAAATGATTCATATGAGTTATGATAATGGAAAAGGCTCCTGCATATTCCTTGGATAGCAAAGGTGACCAATAAGCAAGTACTAGAGTGCATAACAGCAGATATGTTACTGGAAGGAAAAACTACAAAACTGCATTTCACTTATTTTGGTCCTGTCATGTGGGGGAATTCACTGGAGAAAGCAATTATGTTTGGAAGTAATTCAAACAGTAAAAGGAAACCAGGTCACCAAAGAACATGGTGGTTGGATGCCATCAAACCTGACACCAGCCAGTGTATAGAAATAGTGCAAGATAAGAAAATGAGGAGAGATCTGTAAAATGTATTTCTGTAAAATACATCTGCAATAGAGTAAAAGCATTTTTTCCCATTCTTTTTTCTGTCAGTATGAATTACTGGTCTCTTTCCATACTACTTCTCAAGCATTTGTTATATTGCTACTGTATTCAGTATCCAGCACCCAATAAATGCAGTAAATTCAGAATTACTTGCGCTCTCTCCACCAGTTTCATTTTCAGAAGATTCTGTAAATGTATCCAACAACAGTTCCTTTGTTTCTTTGTCTGGAAAAGGAGGGAGCATTCCTGAGAGAACTTCAACATCTGGAAACTTTAAGGGGAGAAAAGAATAAAAGCAGGAAAAGCACTTTCTGACAAAAACACTGCTAAAACAAAATAATCGACTCATTTTTTACATTTAGAAGGACAAAAACAAGAGACTAATTTAATGGAGCTTACATACTATGATCTGATTTTCTTTTTCTTTTTATTTGTTGGTCCTTGAACATATTTTAGTGATAACAATTCTCCTAAAAACTGTGATGTGGTTAGAAAACTGCAAATCCATAGATCAACACCATAAAATTTATTTTCATATTAAATATACACAAAATGTCATAATTCAGCTCTTCCTCTTCCCCAGTTTGTTTTTGATGTATCTTTATTTAAATTGTGAAGAATCTTTATAAATATCCACTATGGCCTTAGACAGGGAGTCTCCAAACAAAAGAAGGCATTATATAAGCTAAAATATAGCTAAAATAAGAATCAAAGACTAAAATGATCCAGTGCTATTTAAAGACAACATAGAATAAACATTTTCACCTGAAAACTAAGACCCTGGCCCAGGAGACCAGGACAGATGGCAATTTTGTGCTCCACTTTTTTAGTACTTAACATCGTTTTAGACTCCAGAATATTTGACAATAGAGTTCTTCTGTTGATACATAGGGATAGCTGGCCTATAACTCTTTGAGGTATTCTAGACTATTTTGTAGGTCAATGGTTAAGTCACCATAAGTCATATCCAGTTGCGCCCCTTTCTGGATCGGGACTCCTTGTGCACAGTCACTCATGCCTTGGTTATGTCACGCCTGGACTACTGTAACGCTCTCTACATGGGGCTCCCCCTGAGGAGCACCCGGAGGCTCCAGCTGGTGCAGAATGCGGCCGCACGGGTGATTATGGGAGCGACGTGGCGCTCCCACGTAACACCTCTCCTGCGCGAGCTGCATTGGCTCCCGGTGGTCTTCCGGGTGCGCTTTAAGGTGTTGGTTCTCATCTTTAAAGCGCTCCATGGCTTAGGGCCAGGGTATTTGCGAGACCGCCTGCTGCTACCGATAACCTCCCACCGGCCAATACGCTCTCACAGAGAGGGCCTCCTCAGGGTGCCGTCGGTCAGGCAATGTCGGCTGGCGGCCCCCAGGGGGCGAGCCTTCTCTGTGGGGGCACCCGCCCTGTGGAATGAGCTGCCTCCTGGAATACGATTGATCCCGGACCTCCGGACCTTCCGTAAAGCCCTGAAGACGTTTTTATTTCATCAAGCCGGCCTAGCCTAAATGGTTTTTAATTGGGATTTTAAATTTTATGGAATTGGGGTTTTAAATTTGGGTAGCCAATGATTTAATTCTTTTAATTATCTTAACTTTTGCATTTGTATGTTTTTTAATTTTGGCTGTTCACCGCCCTGAGTCCCTTCTGGGAGAAGGGCGGTATACAAATTAAATTAATAAATAAATAAATAAATATCCAACTTTTCACGATTTAATTCCTTTACAGAAAGATTTCCTTGAACTAATTTAACCTGACCCATCTTTCACCACTTGCTTACCTCTTTTTGAAGAAATTGCATTCCAAATTCAGACTTGAAATAGGGAGGGATCTTTTTGTACCTCATCCTCATAAGACAATTCTTTCCATCTTCAATTTCCTGCCTGAAGATTTTTTAAATGGGAGGAAAACAGAAATATCTATAGCAATATAATCATTTCACATTATTTTATAATTTATTCAGGGATTATTAATGCATATTACTGGTTCAAAACAGGCAACTTTATTATTTTCTCAATTTTGCTAAAATTAATAAAGAGAAAGGACTACTGAATAAGCCTTATGCATGTATATAGATTTGTGAAGGTTATTCTGTTTATATAATAGTTACTTCTTATTATTCTAGAAGTTATTTCTAACACTCTGGAAGACAGTAAGTTTTAAAAAATATTGATTCACAGCTGAAGGACTGGCGAACTGTTTGCATTTTTCATGTGTAATTCTCTTTCTCACTTATAGAAAAATAATTTTCAGTTGCAATAATATGCTTTTTTTCTGGCAGTACATTACTGAAAATTAAATGAATAAAAAATCATTTCACAGATCGTAAAAGGCCCATAGTTCCCCACCCATTTTATAGACTACAGGAAAACAGGAGAAGTGAGGTACAAGGAGTGAGAAGGCTTCCAGGATGTAACTGAAAAATTAAAGCCTTTCTGTTCTCTCATTAATACTACTAGTACTTATTATTTTTATTTTTTGGTATGGCACCGATACTATGCAAATTACTAACAAGTTCTACCATTTGTGTATGTACATATGCACATATATGAATGCACATACTGAGAAAAAAGTTGGATAAGCTCAAAGAAAAAAACAAGGGCCTTCTTTATTGGTTCTCTCCAGGAGCATGCTAATATAATAAAAATATAAACTTGCTTATAATGTAAACTTTTAAGAGGTCTTGGAAATACATATTAAGTATATAGCTAAAGGAGTGGGAATTCTCCCATTGGGGAAGCTAGTAGTAATTGCTTAGATTAAGTTAAATAAAATTTATACTATAGAAAATAAAGGAAAGAAGGGGGAAATACTATGGAGAATAAAGGAAACAATATAAAAAAACAGATAATTTAGAAACTTTCCTAAATTTATCCTGGAGAAGGGGATAAGGAGAAGAGAATTGTTGGTTCAAATCAGTGGTGGGATTCAAATTTTTTTACTACCGGTTCTGGGGGGGGGGCTTGGTGGGCGTGGTGTGGCTTGGTGGGTATGGCTTGGTGGGCATGGCAGGGGAAGAATACTGTAAAATCTCCATTCCCTCCCCAATCCAGGGGAAGCTCACTGCAGAATCCCCATTTCCTCCTGATCAGCTGGGACTTGGGAGGCAGAGATAAGGGCGGGGCCAGTCAGAATTTTTACTACCGGTTCTCAGAACTACTCAAAATTTCCACTACCAGTTCTCCAGAACTGGTCAGAACCTGCTGATAAGCCACCTCTGGTTCATATAGGTGAACACGATGGAAATGACAAAGAAACAGTTATCAGCAGAACTACGAGTATCAGCTGAAAGCTTGCTTCAGAAAATAGTAGATTTTCATTTGTTTCATTTGTTAGAAATATTAGAGGAAATCTTGCATGGTCATCTTACAAGGATGTTACAGCAACATCCTATAAAAAACAGCATGAACTAGGACATTGACTAGGTTGTTTTGAAGTTGATTTCCAATTCTGATTCTCTCTTCCCAAATCTTTGCAGAGCAAGAGGATGAAACTGTGGAATTCTGTTCAGAGTTATTCCTAATAATACTTAAATGATAAGACAGGTTCCAGAAATTTATACTAGAAATAGCTGTCTGATTTAAAACCTTCAGACTTCAGAAAACCTTTCCCCCCTATAGCTTCTGTTCGTGGTTTCTAAATCCTATCCTAAAACTAATGCACCATTACCTGGTATGCGCTAATTTGTTCTGCCAGCCAGAAATCTTCATGGGCTCGTCGTGGCTGCATAAAGGAAAAAGAAACATTTCATAAAATTCACAGAGAGTTATTTAGAAAACATTCCACTTGATTTTAAATATGACATGACACATGGCTCCATTTCATATGGTAAAAACTAATCATATGTTTCTATTTCAAGGCACCTGGGATAATCTCATTGCAGCCACACTAGAAGCAGTAGCTTCCTTAGATATCATATTATAACATCTATCCTATTGTGACTCCGTGGCGCCATATTATGATTATTTTATAATGGTTTTACCTTAATTTAATATATTATCTCGTATATTGTACTGTCCACATATTTTACACACACACACATACATACATACATATACTGTATATATACACACACACATATATATACGCACATGTATATAAATGTATATATGTACATACATATATGTATATGTATATATATATGTGTGTGTATGTCTGTGTATATGTGTGTGTATGCAAAGGTGATGCTTTACTTAAATTAAGTAAACACCTAATTAAAATTAAACACTTTATATTTGTGTTTATATATACAATGTGTTTTATAAGTTGTATATCTGTGATTGCATGACTGCTGTAGATGCCATACACTAAATAAATACATATTCTTCTATCAACAGAAGCAGATTCAGCTGATGGAATATGCCCTTTTCTTCTGCAGTCTGCCACCCAAAATATTCTTACCCAAAATGTTCCAATCCTTTAGAGCAATTCCCCAACCTTTCTGTCTTTGCAGACCGGAAAAGGGAGAGGGGATGGTTCCTTGTGAGCAGCATGCCCACACATTCTCACATGCAGCTCCATTTGTGCATTATGCACAAGTGGTGAGCTCACATGCCCACTGCTCATGAAAATGGAACTGTGCACACATTTTGCAAACTAGACTCAAGAAAAGATGGAATAAAAATCAAATGGCATCTTTTTAAAATCACTTAAGATTTTCAGATGATGTTGTTCTCTGCTCACAAGACCCAGAAGAGTTACAAAGACACATGCAAGAGCTGCACAAAGCAGGAGAACCATTTGGCTTAAAAATAAACCTGAAAAAGAGCTAGGTTATATTTAATAAATTCACCAAATAAAGAAAAGGTTTTATAGGTATCTGGAGAAGAACTAGACGTAGTAGACTACTACATATACCTTGGCCAATGGATCTCAATGGAAGATGATACAATAAAAGAAACTGAACGATTTGTTAAATGTGGTTGGCAGGCATTCAGCAAGCTAAGCATAATTTTCAAGAACAACCTCCCCCTATGCCTGAAGAAAGAAGTTTTTGATCAGTCTGTGTTACTTGCTCTAATGTGTGCCAGTGAAACATATGCCAGTGACACTAATCTTACAATCAAGACAAAGGCTACAAATGGTGCAAAGAGCCACATAAATGCTTGGCATTACAAGACAAGAAAGACCTGCACATGGATTAGAGAACAAACAAAAGTGTACGATATCATCAAGAGAGTAAAAGAACTGAAATGGAAATGGGCTGGTCACATAGCAAGAAGAACTGATGGCAGGTGGATCAAGGCAGTCATTGAATGGATCCCACTTGATAAAAAGCATCCACAAAAGAGACCTAAAACAAGATGGATTGACAACATCAGCAAGTATTGTGGGCCCAATTGGCAAAAGAAAGCTCAGGGCTGTATTGGTTGGAAACTTGCGGAAGAGGCCTTCATCTTGCAGTGGATGAACAATGGCTAAAATGATGATGACGACGACGATGAAATTGAAGTAATCTGAATGTTTTAGATACCAATATCTCCAAGAGGAGAGAGTTCAATTCATTAACAACACCAGAAAAATCTTTGCAGAATTCCTTCACTAACCTCATGTTTTATAAAATACTACAGTACAATATTAATTATATATTTTTACCAAATTTATTTCTGCTCTGCAAGACATACTATGATGGGATGTAGCCCAGAGACACCAGAGGAAGGAGTACTTTCCCAGACAGTAAAGAGACAGCAGAGAATGGAATCTGGTTTGCAGGAAGAGGCCGAAGGTGAACGCCCCTAGCGATTCACAGACTACGTCTAGTAGTTATGCAGGTAGTCTGCATAACTATCCAATTATGCAGTTTAGTTTGGCAAGATTAATGCCAGGCCCAATCAAGAATGACACATGGGGTTATTTCTGAATAGTCTTTTTTTATTGTGTTCACTTATAGACAGAAATCTTGGCAGACTAAAGCAATCACCAGCATAACTACTAGATACACTGTGAATTGCTAGGGGTGAATTCGCCTTCACCCTCTTGATTCCAAGCTCTGCTGTCTCTTTGCTCTCTGGGAAAGAGCCCTCCCTCCTGTGACTCTGCACTACATTTCACCACACATATCCAGTCATACAGTAATAAGAAAACCATTGCTATAACTTTTGGAAATGTTTCTTGCACCAAATTCTCTTACCTCATCCTCATCATTTTCCAATATTCTTCCGTTTGCTTTGAAAATACTTCCTGTGATGAACTTGGCACCTCTGATATCATTGCCTGCTCATACAGTACAGAAATTGGAGCTGCAAATTCATGAAAAAAAATTATCAAAAACTAAACTTAGATTTGTTGCCATTTTTCACTTCAAGTCTGCATCCGTTGCTTTTAGTGAATAGTCCTGGATCTATCCCATTCATTTCCCAAATGGAATGGGACATCTCAGCACCACCATTTTGCAAAGGCCATGTCGCCAGGGGCATCTCTGAGTTGCCATCTCAGTGTAGGACATTGTCATGGGAAACTCGCTATGGGATAACTTGATGAGCCTCCTGTGGCAGCTCCCTTCGTGGGGGATGGGCACTGTAAAGTGAGGCAAGGAAATCTTTGGAGAAGGGAGATGAACCTCCCCCTGCAAAAGATGGGCTAAGCAGGAGTCATTGACAGTCGCCAGACAGCTGTCACCATCCCTGCTTGCCCCTTTCCCCATCTGGGAGTCATCAGGGTCCAGCACAGCATGACAAAGGAAAAGTCCGCAATGCTGAGATTGGCACAGAGACATGCTCCAGCGAGGATCCCGCAAGGAAAAAGGAATGGGCAGGATGTGCTTCTTGAGTATGGGCAACAAGGCAGGCAGGATATGCTTCTCACATGTAGACAGCACAAGACCAAGACTGACACAGACACCATCCTCTCATGAGAAAAAAGGAATGGACCAGACATGCCTGTTGTATGTGGGCAGCACAGCACTGGCACAGAGGCCACTCTCCCGTGAGGGTCTATGGGGAAAAAGGAACTGCCGAATGTGGCCTGGGCGGAAGGCCTCCCCAATGGGTACGTAGCAGATGGGATGTGGTGCTGCAGGAGAGGTCTCAAGTTGTCTGCAGTGAGTTTTCCATGGTTATTTGTTCCATTCCAAAGTGGCCATGGCAACATGTTTGTGGCAAGATGGCGGTGCTGAAATGTCATAGACCCTTCACAAAACAATGTGTTCACAGAAATTTTGGTACACAAAGAAGTTCCAATCAGGATATAAGTACCAATGGCCCCCAGACATGGCCGTCATTGTTTCTCAAACAGGGAACATATGAGAATCATTGGTCATTTTCCATGTGAATATCTTTAAGTAGTATTTTCCTGACAATTAGGACAATTAATCAGTGGAACAACTTGCCTCCAAAGGTTGTGAATGCTCCAACACTGGAAGCTTTTAAGAAGAGATTGGATAACCATTTGTCTGAAGTGGTGTAAGGTTTTCTGCCTAAGCAGTGGGTTGGACTAGAAGACCTCCAAGGTCCCTTCCAATTCTATTATTCTATTTCTATTTCTATTCAGCTCCTGCTATCTAAATACTGCTAAAACTCTCATTCCTATAACTTTAACTAGGAGAAATTGCATCATAGGGCAACATTTTTTGAATCAAGATACCTCAAATGGTAACTTACACAATGCATCCAAAATCTGGGACCAATGACTCCCATGGAAGTAAAATTTGGCAAATTTTATAAAATATTTTATGACATAAATATTACCATAAAATGGTTTAGGACATAATACAAAATGTCACGAAACACTTCTTGTGTTGAAGTTTGACTGTGCTATGTAGTTCAAACCTGAGCTATTTTCAAGGCAAATATATCACTGGATGTATCCCAACTTTTCCACAGAATGTAGTACATTACAAATTCTGTCATTTTTTTTAAAGCATTGAGGAACATGGTAAGAAAATATCTCAAAAGAGTGATTCAATGGGTCACAGGTTTTGTTTACTAGCAGTGTAAAATGTAAACACTTGGCTATTATAATAAATTGTGACTTCTTAAGGTTTGCCCAAATCAATGCTCAACCTAGGGAATATGGTCAAATGGTTTAACTGATAGAGCCATAGAACTGCCTGATTTCCTCTACTGGTCTCTTCCTTGAATAATCTGAGCAAGCTAAGAATGTATGCCCTCACAGCTGCCATTTTCAATCTACAATGGAACTCGAATTAGGGCTTCCCGACACTTGCACTGGAATGCAGTTGGACAGCAAATGAAGATAATATGCACAATATTTAGAAAGGAAATCCCTTTGCAAATGGCTGATACAGGAAGCCAAGGAATGGCATGCAGGTGCCATTTACATTCACTACTGAGAAAAGAATTTCCTATCATGCAGTCTATAGAAGTACACATGAATTCTTGTCATAGGATACTAACTAGGTCTGGATTGGACAATTGCAAGACAATTATGCAAATTGTATGCATAAAATACCTTCATACATATATTGTATGTATGTATGTATGAGTGTGTGTGCATTTATACATATATAAAACAGTTTAGAGTCAATTGCTGTTAATTTAGATACAGTGTAAACTTCTAATTTCAAAGCTGAACATTTACAAGGTTTCCTGAATGGTTTCCAGGATTCTCATTTGTAAATAATTGTTAATAATTCTGTATCCTTTTTGAATGACACACAATATTAAAATTTGAAAAAGTCTAACAAAATGGAGGGAAATATTATGCAAAATATGAATAATCGTTAACTCCAGAAGGGAAAATTAAAAAACTTAGAACATTAAATTCTTACCTCTACTGCAAAATTCTGAAGATTCTTCAAGACTGGGAAAAGACTGCAATAAACATAAATAGAAGATCTCTTGAGTCAGTTCATATAAATTGACTCTGGGACAAATTGGAAAGCTTATTTTTTGCTAGACATCTGATAGCACTTATTAAAATGTTGCATGATAATGCCTATATCCAATTAGGCTTGAAAACCAAGTCAGCTTTTCCCCCCTACTTGCCAGGTGGTCAAACAAGAGAATATTTTAACTTTCTTGCTATTTAATTTTTATGTCAATGATATGGTAGAAAGAATGGCTTTGTGAGTTAGATGGACAATCTCTAAATCTGATCAATAAATAAAACTAAATAAAACTATCAAAATCTGCCATCACAGATCTGGGTAGTAAACCTACTGCATTATTTTTATATGCAGATGATAAGTGATTACCTAAACTTGATTTACTGAACTGAGAACATGAAGGGCATATGAGTCCTATTGATAATGTGCTGGTTATTAACTATCAAAAAACAATTAAAAAACATTTTAAAAAGTGATATGTACAAGGTAGATTAAAAGCTTTTGAGGTCAAAGTAATAATGAAGTTATTTTATGGTTTCTAAATGCATGCAATATATAAGGCTATAGAGTCATTATAAGTCATTACAAATAAGCACATAGAGTCATTAGAACATGTTCAACCAGGATTTCTAAGGGATTTCTAAGCCTTCAATTAAGCACAGAATGGCATTAAATAAAATTTGAGTGCAAATTGAGTATATATATTACCTATTGGCTTAATTTTTTAAAATTCAAGCCATTTAGTTGTTGTTTATCTCCACCAAGATAAATTTTAGTTTTCTTGGTGGAAATAACTTAGATACTGTGGATTTAGACATAATGCACTGATCTCAATTAATCAATCAATGGCTGCTCCCACTCCTCCAAATTCTATAAATGGAGCTGGATGAATGGAAGATCACCTGGAAGCACTGTATGACTGTATGACAGATAGAAACAATTCTGAGAAGAACTTCCGGTTGGTGAATCCCAGCGATATGGCGCTGTGACAGCGATCGCTGCTTGCAGCGCCACTTTTTTGTTGCGTTTTGAGGTCCCTTCGAGGCGTGGGAGCTCGGAGAGCTCCGCGGACGATAGCGGGGTGTCAGCAGGCAGAGCGGTGAGGAGCAAGCACTCTCTGCTGGACCGACTACCGCTGTCAAACTAACACGGCGCGTCTGCTTTAAATGGCAGACTTGAAGCTGTGATAGCCAACAAAAGACAGGAAGCAAGAAGATTTCGGTGAAGTTGGTGCCTATGATCATTCGTACTACTCTCCCTTAAACACGCTCGGAGTGAGTTCAATTGGATTGTGCTGGCTGCGTCGGATAAGAAGGATCCTGGAAGGAATTGGCGGCGATTGTGAGGTTGGAGGAGATTGGTGGGAGACGAAATCGCAGACGTGCTGGTGAGATTGAGGACACTTTTAGAAAGGGAGACGGAGCCTCCAGTGGATTGGATTGATACTTTGTTTTGAGCAAACAAACTTTGGAAAGTTAAGAGTGTGGAATAGACTAATTGAATAAAGGAACTGGATTTTGGAAGTGCGGTAGCTGTCAGGACTAATAATAAGACTGTCTTGAGCTGAGAGACTGAGAAGGAGCACTTGGGGAAGATAACATGGCTGATGAAATCTGAATGACAATGCAAATGGAGAGTGATTGAACTTAAGAGCAACGCGAAGCAGATCATACAGCAAAGCGTGCCAGCTGCATCATTGTAAAAGAATTTTTTTATATTTTTGGTTGCTTTTCCCCTTTGCTCTTTTATGACTGAGAGAAGTTATTGAGCAATTAATCAATCAACGAGTTGGGCAAATAACAACAACAAAAAAAAAACATTAGAAAATTTATATATCTACAAGTATATATCTATATTAATATTATATATATTACATATTCCATTTTAGATAATCTAAATTAATTGTGAACTTATTTAAAATTTATTAAGTACTTTTTAGATTTTTTTATTAAGGAATTTATATACGCTATAATCTTATATATTCTATAATTGGATTTTTCCTTTTCTTCTCCTCCTTTCTTCTTCTTTCAATTATTGATTCTTAATTTTGATTAGCTTTTTATAACTTAAAATATTGAATATTGAGATTGCATAATTAATTATCTATATGTGTAATTAGATTGCTTAAGATATATTAGAAAGTCATCAGTGCTTAAGTGTTAAATAAGAGTAGGTAAAGATAATTTGCTTAAGTAGTGGTAGCAGGTGAGAGGGTTACCTTAGTTCAAATTAGTTTAACTATTAATTGATTAATAAGTGACTTATTACAAGATAGATTTGTGCAACAGATAAAAATTTGAATTATTGAATTATTGTATTACTAAACAATATTGAATAGTGGAACGGAAGGGAACGATTTAATATAAATTCATTTGATAGAGGCAGTTAAATATTGGTGGATGACAATCTGGAAAAACATTGAAAATATAACGAAAACAGAAAAAGGTATTAAAAGAGATGATGAGCTTCTCATCCACGGTGACAAAAACAGGAAAGAAAACATCCTCAAATCCCACGATCACAACGACATCACCTGCTACACAGAAATTGACTGAAGGTTTCTCTAAAATGGAGAAATCAGGAATGCTACCCACAATGCAAGCAATGCAATCAACATTGACAGCAATACAGGACACGATGATTATGTTACAAGAAAAAATGTCTAGTAACCATACTGAATTGAAGACAGATATTAGGGCATTAGATCAAAAAATGATTGGTATACAGGAATCGATACAAACTAATACACAGAAGATTAAAAAGATGGAAGTTAAAATGGAACAACAGGAAAAAAATTTAGATACGGTTGACCAAAAACTGATGGAACAGAACAGGGAATTGGCAGACTCAATTACCCAATTGGAAATGGATCGAGCCTCCTTCTATCTCCGTTTCCAAAACATTGCCGAAGATAAGGAAGAAGATCTGTGCCAGGTGATGGCAGAATTAATTGCTGAGGTGTTGCAACAAGATAAATTGGATATTATAAAGGAAATTGACGAGGCGTATAGGGTCCAGACAAATTATGCACGAAGAAATAAATTGCCAAGGGAGGTGCATATAAGATTCGCAAGGAAGAAGGTAAAGGATATCCTCTATAGTATGGCAAGAGATGAGCCAGTCATGTATAAGGGAAAGGAGGTGATCATATTGAAACAAATTCCAAGGAGGGTAAGGGAGATAAGGAGAGATTATAGGTTTTTGGCTACTCAATTAAACAAAAGGAATATTCTCTTCAGGTGGATTTTACCAGAAGGCATGTGGATCACGTGGCAAGGGAATAAAGTTAAGATAGATAGGTTAGCAGCAGCTCAAGAGTTCCTGGATCAATTACGAGCGTCTGAAGAGGATCAAAGTAGTAAAGAGGAGTTAGAGGCGGAAACATCGAAAGAAGAAGCAACCCAGCAGATAAGAGAGAAAGAAGGGACATCGAAGGATAGTAAGGAGACAAAGAAAGACCAAAGTCCACAAAGAGTCACACGTGCCAAGAAGTATTAGGATAGTATACAAAAATTAAGAGATGGATGATTGGAAATTGATATCAGTTAACGTAAATGGCCTAAACGATAACAAAAAGAGGAATTTTTTTTTTACAAAATTAGCTAAACAAAATATGGATATAGTGTGCCTCCAAGAGGTCCATATTAAAAAGGAAAATCAAAAATATTTGGAATTAAGAAATTGGGGAATCTTTATGCATCCCTAGCTGATAAAAAGAAAAGGGGAGTAGCATTGTACATCAAGAAGGAAATAAAAGCCGAACTAAAATATGCAGACCCGAAGGGAAGGGTATTAATGGTGGAAGTTAAAAGAGGCAACTGTCCAATCTTATTAACAGCAATTTATGCCCCGAATGAAAACCTAGGAGACTTTTAGAAAAAATTAGGAGAGAGATTAAGCATGATGGATAAGAGCAAGATTTGCATAATTGGCGATTTTAATGGAGTAATAGATTCGAATAGAGATTATAAGGGGACCAAAGGTAAAAAGAAAAAGAGGAAAAATTTACCAAAACCATTCTTTGATATGGTAGAAGAACTCAATCTAGTGGATATTTGGCGGGTTCTGCACCCATATCAGAGGCAGTATACATATTATTCTAATCCTAAGAAATCTTGGTCTAGGATTGATATGATGTGGATAAGCAGAGATATAGGGTTAGATATTAAGTCAACAGAAATCATGCCCAACATTTGGGCAGACCATAATCCATTAGAGGTTAAATGGGAATGTACACACAAGAGAAGAAATACAAGATGGAGATTAAATAATCAATTTCTAAAGGACAAGCAAAATGTTGAGAAAGTAAAAAAAGAATTAAATCTATTTTTTGAAGTAAATGAAAAGGAAGCAACATCTCGAGGTATCATATGGGATACAATGAAAGCGTACATAAGAGGACTAGCAATATCGTATAGTGCACATAGGAATAAGGAAAGAAGAGAGAGGCAGAAGGCACTGATAGAAGAATTAGGGAAAGCTGAGAGGGAACTACAACATAAACCAGATAATAAGGTTGTTAAAGAAAATTGGATGGTTATACGGCACAAATTAAACGTTATAGATCAAGAGGAATTAGCGTACAAAATGAAACGAACCAAACAATATTATTTTGAAAATGCAAACAAACCGGGCAGGTGGCTGTCCTATAGGTTAAAAAAAGAAAAAGAGAAAGGCATAATTCATCAATTGGAAGACCCGGAAGGCCACCTCAACAATAAACAGGAAGATAAATTGGAGATTGCCCGAGAGTATTATGCGGCTCTGTATGCGGAAGAACAAATTCCTAATGAAAAGGTGGTCCAATACTTGTCAAAAGAAAGTCTTCCAAAAATCGGGGAAGAGGATAAAGAAATACTTAATAAAGAAATAACGATGACAGAATTAAGGATGGTAATATCAAAACTTAAAAAGAACAAATCCCCAGGCCCAGATGGACTTCCAGGGGAATTTTATAAAAACTCGGATTTGGGAGAAATTTTGTTA